CCTCTTCTCTAAAATTTCCTCAAGAGTATATATATCAAAACCTCTTCTTTGAAATTTCCTCAAGAGAAGTATATACGTTGTTCCTTGCTGTAACTACTTAGGGGTAATCTATATTTTAATGCAATGTTTGAGGCACTTTATACCAAAATCAGATCTTATTATTATTATTAGATGGGGTCTTTTGGTATATGTATGCCCCTCAAATCTTTATATTTGAAAAACTAACCTTCGTATCTTAGTATTTGAAATAGTACCCTACATGTCACCAACTTGGAAAAAATTACTCACTCAAGCAAGTCATGTACTTTGTCTTTGTTGGATATAGTGAGTTAAGATTCAACTATTTTGTTGGTAGTTCTACATTGTAGTTACAAATCATCCTGTCAGGATTGATGATTTATCAACTTAGGGGTATTTTTTTCAGAGTTGATGATGAGTAGTTTTCCACATATACTGAGATTTGGAAGTAGTTTTGTAAATACACATGATTTAAAGGATATATACGCAAAAATGAACGCACCCTTTGCTATTCGGGCCGGACCTTATTAGTTTAAAAAAGAACAAACCCGTTACCCGCTCATCCGGGTCAGATTTTGGAGCTCCAAATGATTAAATCACTACCCGAAACCTCATAGATCCCGAAACCCTAGCAAACTCTCTTGTCCTTTTTCTTCTCTCCTCTCCTCTCGCCGAAGAGAAGAACGCGCTCGGGAGAGTGAGCTATGGCGAAGGACAAGCGAAAGAGATCCCAATCTCTCGACCTCGACGAAGAACCATCACGAGTGGAATCGAACAAGGAGAAGAAGCCAAAGGTGATCCCTTCGCTGATAAAGAACAAGGACAAGAGGAGCCAGGTCCACGCCAAGCTCAAGAAGGAGAAGAAGATCGAGAAGCGAAAGCAGGCCAAGGCCCGCGACGCCGCACACAAGAGAGCTCTCGAGCTCGGCGAGGAGGTGAAGCTCTCATAAATTTAGGGTTTTGATTTGGGTGGTTTTTGAACTTTTTTTTTGTTCTTGTGAATGTTGCAGCCACCGGTGAAGCAGACTCCGAGGACGATTGAGAATGCGAGGTTTTTTTTGTTCTTGTGAATGTTGCAGCCACCGGTGAAGCAGACTCCGAGGACGATTGAGAATGCGAGGGAGCCTGATGAGACTGTTTGTCAGCCAGATGATGAGGAGGTGTGTGTGTGTTTTTTCCCCCTTTGGTCTTCAGAATCTGCTAAAATTTTGGATCAAAACCCTAAATTTTGATGTTCATATGTATTGAGGGTAAATTTCTCATTTTATGATGGCATTGTGAGTATATACACTAAAAGATGGGATAAGAAATGAGTGCATGCGTAAGAGATTCGAGGTTTGTACTTTGATGATATAATGGGCTAGAATCGGTTGAGATGGTTAGGGTCATGTATGGTGGAGGCCACTAAATGTATCAGTCGGGAGAATTACTAATATGATAGTCAATGAGGGCAGAGAGGACTAAATTAGACCTAAAAGAACATGATTAGAAGCAATTACTTTGATGATATATTTGGGATAATCTTTGTCGTGGTTGTTATGCATTGAATTGATTTCGAATTGACAGTTTAGGTTATGAGTGTGTTAATTGATGTATGCATTTAAAGTATTTATTTATTTATTTATTTTGATATTGCTTATAAAATGCAAATAGTGATGAGGACTAACAGAATTGAAATGGCATATAATATGTGGATGGTGAAGAGGACTAACGGAGTTTTTTTTTTGTGAATTAGACTGACTTGTGATGGATGGTGGTATTTGGAATATATAATAGGTATTTGTAACATGTCAGTTTGTTTACCAAAGCAGTAGAATGGATATGATTAGTGTAAATTTTGTCAATATAGATGACCTTCAGTGGAGTTGAATGAAGAAAATGATTCATGTAATTGCTTCATATGTTCCAGATAAAGTTTTCTTTTCTCATTAGTATACTTTAAAGAAAACCGTGAAACCTAGACCCAAATTTGAATGTTTTAAAATTCCTTTAGGCAATGAGTTTTTGTTAGTATACTGGTTTTCAGAGTTGATGGATTTGAAGTATGTGGTGATTACGAGATTTTTTTCAGTCTCTATAAGTTGTAATTTTCTGGTTTAGTTTCATGAAAACAATAATATTTGGGATTTTTATATTCTGACCTGCATACAACTTACTTTTGGATCTGGGTGACGGTGTTATAAATTCATGATGTAATTTGTTGAAGAATTATTGTTGGTATAAATTATTAATTTTTTTAGCTATCTGACGGAACCTTAAAACTTACCTTTCTTGCAAACATGAAATTATAATTTTTGATAGGAGGATTTGGGGATTCGGAAGGTTACCTCTATGATATAGGTTCTATAATGTTTGTTTATCTTGTATTTCTTGAGGGAGTTGCTGAATTTTTATTTATTATTTGATTAACGGCAAAGAAAAGGGAATACTTTTAAAAAATGTAGTTGGGCATAACTATTAGGCCTTATGTGCATTATGGATGATTGTTGATATGCTTTCAGAAGTTACTTATATAAGTTATATACCATTCTACTTCTAACTAGTTTTGTACTTAGATTCTGTAACTTTTTTATCACCTGCAATTAGTTCTCGAATTCATCTGTACTTCAAACTCTTGATTTTGACAAAGTGTTAGCTTGTTTCACCTGTGTGCATGAATAAGTGATGAAACGATTGGATAACACATTTGCTGATTAATTAGCGACTAGTGATTTCCTTAAAAGAGAAATTTCATTCCTCAATATAAAACAGCTACAATTTTTTTCTGACAAATTGATACAAACACAGAGTTCCGATCAAATATTATTTTAGAAAATAATAATCCTAAATGTTTGATGTTGACAAAGTGTTAACTTGTTTGCACCTGTGCAGGAATGAGTGATGAAATAGACTTGATAACACATGTGCTGATTAATAAGCAGGAAGCGATTTCCTTAAAAGAGAAAATCCATTCCTCAATATAGAACAGCTACAAATTTTTCTGACATAATTGATACAAACAAAGAGTTCCATTTGATTATTCTTTAGAAAATAATAATAGTAAATGTAGTAACTAAAAAGCTAGATTAGACATCTTGATCATCAAAATTAACCACAAATCCATAATTTAAGAATCGAAACTATTGTAAGAGTATGACTAATATATATTCAGATATTTCGGATACGGATACAGATATTTCACTACAAAAACATATCCATAATCATATCCTATTGGTTATAGATTTGAGCAACCATATTTACATCCTAACGGATACGGTTACAGATATTTTCTCGGATACGGATACGGTTTAGCACCCCTACTCAAAGGGTAAAGCAACTAAGGATGACAAGGGAAAGAAACCATCTCAAGAGCGAGTAATTGCTCGCCTTCAGGTATTGGGTTATTTGTAGTCGAATTTTGTTTTACCAATTGATAATAAAACAAGAGTAGCATTCTTTGATAATTTTATTAATATTGTACACAATGTCCTACGTGTGACATATGAATCAGTTTGAAGGTTTACCATTTTGTTTTGACATTCAGGAATGTGGTCCTCGTTTCACACTAAAATTGAGAAGTTTGCAGCATGGTACATTTGATACGAAGGGCGGAGAGTATGAATGGGTCCACAAGGTATTTCCTCTCCGAGCGCCAAATTGTATATTTTCTTGTTATTAATAATCTAGTGCGCCTTTCTTTTGAACTTTGTCTAAGTTCCTGTCTTATTCGAATTTTAGAACGAGATGGATACGAGTCGCAGGAGATTTTTCTTATAACCAACAGATAAAACTCTTGACCTGCTGAGTAAGTTAATTTTGCTGAGTAAAAGTTGATGTACTCATCATGTATTCTAGTGATCCAACATCTCATCAGTTTTGTTCATCTAATTATTATTCTCTAATGCGCAAATGAGGTCACTTTCTTCTCAAAGATATATGTGAGATTTGTAGTTTCATATACCAACAGTTTATTTAAATGATTAAATCTATGTTCTTTTGAATTTAGTTAATGCGGTAGGCAAACAAGGCAGTACAAGCTTAATAATTTATGCCTCAAGTGAGTGCCAAATGTTTGTTTTTTTCAGTATGATGTGTTTTTATTTCAGTTGTTCCATTTAAAGGGAGCCATGTACATGTGATATTACTCCGCAAGCTTTAAATATGCAGTTTGTATGATATGTGCAACATATGTAAACCAAGTTTGTATGCAGTTGTTTATCGGGTCCAATACTTTGTTACCCCCAAACAAGAGCGCAGGACGATCACGCATCTTTTAGCAAGCTGACTAGAATTCAGTTTCTTTGTATAAAGAGCCTGAAACTGACAGAATTTTCAAACGAGGTTGATTGAATTGTACTCATTTGCTGATCAGTTTCTTTACAAATTCTTCCATTGGCAGTTTGTACACCTTTTCATTTTAGGATTAGATATAATTAATTACACAGGTGACCCTGGAGTTTGTGTGACCCTGGAGTTCGTGTGTCTGCACAGGTGACCCTGATATACCTTGTTGTGTGGGCTCTAGGTTTACCCGTGTAATACAATAACTGTGTTGATACCCATATTTCATAGTCACCTCGAGGGTACCAGAACGTAACTAATCCTTATTTTTATAGAGTGAGAAAATGTACACTTGATACATCATCCTTGGTAAGAACATGCACTGAGAAGATAGATTATGAAGTAGTAAATCAACTCCATGATAGTTTTTCTTTAGAGTGGTAATGCTATAAAGAAATTTCTTTATTTAGAAGAAATATCTTACGTTTTAATGAGATCAATCCAAGTTAATCAACATAATCGAATCAAATCTCTAAACTTTATCTAATTATTTTAGCAGTTTAATTTAAAAATACGCATCTGATTATAATTTGACCTCTAGCTTAATTTCGACTATGTTCTGGGGAAAGCAGGAAATGCAACAAATGTTTTATAATCAAATTTAAATCTTTATAAAACAGCACATAAACTAACATAGATAGTTATAAGGGTCAACTTTGGAAGTTTCTGTTATATTATTTATACTTTATTTTACTTCTTATCTTTGTGAAATCCATACTCTTTACTACTGTACTTACATAAATCTTCTGAAATTCAAATTTTAAGTGGACTCAGAAAAATATATATTATCTAACTATCAGGATCAATGATGGACATCTTTTACTAATGCCAATTTCTCAACCAGTGATTATCCCTTTAAATTTTGAAACTCTTTTTTTTCTTTTTCTGCAAGAAGACATCAAAGTTATGATCTTTATTTATTTATTTATTTTTAAATTGATGCAGTTGTGACAACTTTGTGAGTGTGCACATGTTTTCTTTTTTCTTATTTTAGTTAATTCTCTCCCTTTTCCTCCCTTTTCCTCTCTTTTCCCCTTCTTCTTTTTGCATATTTAGAAGTTAGGATTGTTGGCAATCTTCCTAATGACAGCCTTCATACTAGGCAGTGGCAGGTGGAATGGTGGAAATTCAAATATTTGAGATTTTCTATTAAGTGACAATAGAGTTGTTTGCATTCTTACAAACTAATCTGTCTAATCTCCGTATTTTTGTTGTTTGTCTACCATCTTTGAACTCTTCAGGCGAGACTTCTTTATGAAGTTAATTTGTTTGACATGATTAAACAGTCCAGAATTATGATCAGGACTTCTGACATCAGTAATTGGAATGAAAATTATATTGAAGGATAAAGGTCTGTGATATTGGTTTATATAAATGTTAGATTGTCTCTTACAAGTCACTAGATACCAGAATGCTATCATAGCCTTAAATCTTGAGGTGCTACTTCAATTGTGCATCATAATTATTTGTTGTCATGGATGCTATAGTTAAATATGCTTCTAAAATCAGCATCAGGCAAATTTGACCCTAAATTAGATAACCATCTAGGAGAAGAATCAGGATCAGCTGTGTGGATTCTCTGAAGAACACTTTCATGGTCTGTATTCTCTGAAGAGGTTATGTCTTCTCTGATAGTCTTCTTTATACACATGATTCTTCCGTCACATTTGGTATCCCTATCATCGTTGGCTTCTTAAGGAGAAATTTTTTGACTCGTCTATCAATTGAGCAGAGAAGAGCTGGATTGTCTATAGTGAACCACGCATAAGCAAAGAAGAGTTTTGGATTCTGGGAGAAAATTTTGGATTCAGTCACTATCAAGCAATGTAAAGAGGAGTTTCTATATCCGATGAGCTTTGGACCAATGACTACAATGTACCTCATGTAACTAAGTCTTCCATATCTCTTGCTTTTTAATTAGACAATGAAGACTACTGAAGATGAGATTTTGCACGCACGATTCTCTAAAGGTTGCGTAAGTGAGCGTTCATATGTGCTTAATGACATCCTATGAGAAATTCTGGACAGTTTGTCTTCTAATATTTGTAGAAACTCATCATATTGCCCACTGGCTTCCAACGGGGGATAGAATTTTGTCAAACTTCTGTGGAGCCTTCTCAATATAGATTTGTGACTTTCACGCTTGCCCGTTTTTATGAGGGTTGGTCCTACATTTTATGATCATGATCATTTTATCTAATTGCTTTTATAAACGGGGTTAAGATGTTTGATTTATTGAGAGATGCACCTATATTATTTTGGCAATTGTATCAAACCTTTTTAGGATATGCATCTTTACAAAGCTATTAGCTATATTGTATATCCATCACAAATCCTTTACAATATATATATCTGAAGCAGTAGATGTACTAAGCTTATATATTGGAGCTTTGAGTATCCTTTACCATGTTTGTATATATATCTGAAGCAGTAGATGTACTAAGCTTATATATTGGAGCTTTGAGTATCCTTTACCATGTTTGCCATGTCTGTTTCCAACACGCATTCACTAAGCTTATATATTGGAGCTTTGAGTATCCTTTACCATGTTTGCCATGTCTGTTTCCAACACGCATTCAAGCAATATATCTTGGATAATCTTTGAATCCTTGCTTACATGTTTTTCATTAGGTTCTACTTGTTTTAAAAAAAAGGTGTGATGAACTTTACAGGGAATCAGGGACAGCTTCAAGTACTGAGTTCCCACCATCAATCAGGAGGGGAACTATCTGTTTCAACTATTCTGTATCTTGTTTCGCTTCAAGATCTCACAAATTGTCCTTTTCGTGTTGTTGACGAGATAAATCAAGGTAAACACTGCCCTTATTTATGTCAATTTTATAAAAAAATTTACCCTTCATTTTATTCATCGTAAAAATGTAGGAATGGACCCCATAAATGAGAGAAAAATGTTCCAACAACTTGTCAGAGCAGTAAGTCAAGAAAACACACCACAGTGAGAAATGACCATCTCATGTTTTATATATGATTTCATTAGCACATGATCTTTATGCTGGATATTCTATATTGATTGATACAGGTGTTTCTTGTTGACACCGAAGTTACTACCTGATCTCGAGTACAGTGATGCTTGTAGCATTTTGAACATCATGAATGGCCCCTATATCGAGAAACCCTCCCAAGGTATTGAACATTTTACTGCTGAGTATGGTTTTAGTTTGGGTTCTTTCAGCTAATTTTTGATTATTTTCAATTTTGTTTATATTTTTAGTCTGGAGTTGCGGCGAGAATTGGGGGACAGTTGGTAGGAGAGGGTTTGAGCTGAACAGCTCTTGTAGATCTTGTATTTAAAAGGAAGAATCCAGCATATGTTGGTAGGAGAGGGTTTGAGCTGAACAGCTCTTGTAGATCTTGTATTTAAAAGGAAGAATCCAGCATATTTCTATCCATCTTATTGTATCATATTTAGCTCTTGTAGATCTTGTATTTAAAAGGAAGAATCCAGCATATTTCTATCCATCTTATTGTATCATATTTGCTTTCCCCTCCATACTTTGAATTGTAAACAAGCTCAGGCGACGTTAAATTTTAATATCACCCTTCCCTCATTTATATTTCGAACTGTAGTTACATATTTGACGATTGACCATCAATTTTTGAAGAAATGTAGTACTGTAGCCGCAGTAAAAATCTACGTGGTACTTTTTGCTGCTAATTTTTGTAGTATGGATCTCTTTTTACTGTTTAACCATGTTATGACTCGTTTGAAATAAGCTGTATTGTTTATAATGTAGTTACAGATATTTGGCACTAAGAAAACCCAGCTCTTTTGCATGAGTTCGAAGAAATACGGAGAGTTTAAATTTTTTCCCCCCTTCTGTGGAGAACCATATTATCCAAGTTTAAACTTAAATTATGAAAAAAGAAGAATTTTTTGAAATAGGCCAATTTAAAAAAATAGTTGGCAAAACGGACATTTTTTTGGTCAGCTCACCAAGGTTGCTCAAAAAAATGTTGGTTTTGCTGAATTTGTGTTTTAAAATACATTGAACTATTAGTCCTGTGTGTTTAGACCGTGTGTTTAGTGACCAAATTAAATTTAGAAAACTCACAGGACTACTAGTGTTGTGGGTTTTCTCTTCACAAATACAAACCTAGCCACTAAACTTCTACTCCGACAAATGGCAGAGTGAAGATAAAATCAAGGTTGACCCTCCCCAACCTTTGGCGATCCCTCTCCCTCTTCTTCGGCGACTCCCCTATCGTCGTCTCTGACGGGGCCCTGATATTGTTCTCCGACCTCCTATCCTCTCGCAGCTCCGCTCTCCTCTCCCACTTCCGGGCCTACTATGACGGCCTCGACCTCGCCACCACCTCCTAGTTCCTCTCCCCACAACCATGGCACTCCTCGCTAGAGATCCCCTTCCTCTGGCTCGGCGACTTCCATCCCTCCCTCTTTACCAACCTCCTTCGGATCCTCCCCATCTCCTCCTCCTCCTCCTCCCCCCAATCCCTCGTCATCCCCAAGATCGAGAAGTTGGAGCGGGGATCCGCCTCATGGCCCCCTCCATTGCCAACACATTTCGCGACGCCCATGCTTTTGGCATGTATCCCTAACTAAAAAGCCGGTTTTGTATTTGTGAAGAGGAAACCCATTGGATTAGTAGTCCCGTGGGTTTTCTGAGTTTAGTTTAGTGGCCGATTAGTGGCCACTGAACATACTGTCCCGTGTATTTCAAAATTCAAATTCGGCAAAACCGACTTTTTTTTGGCAGCCTTGGTTAGCTTGCAAAAAAAAGATTGGTTTTGCTGAATATTTATCAAAACGGTCGGTTTTGCTAAATATTTTTCAAAGCCGATCTATTTCAAAAAATTCTCTAAAAATATGGAAATGTGGAACGAAAGGCAAGGGAATATATTTATTTTAAATTTTGATGATAAATGAGTATGATTGTAATCTTTTTAAAAAAAGTGGCGGGGGAGACACCTGAATATCTTGTTAAAAGCTACGTATTCAAAACTGGAACTCTTGGGTTTATATGCCAAGCTAATAATTATTAACATTTTTCTTTGTTTTGATTGAAGGTCAATCGAATAGTTTATCTCATGTATGATGTATTATACCTAAATTCATGGTTAAACAGTTCAATAGCATCGAGTTTCCTAATGCACGTTATCGTCAATGGAAATGCAAGCGCGAATTGATGGGGGTAAATACATATCACTGTTGTTTTCAACATAAAAATATACTTCCCATCTCGTACGTATAATAAGAAGCATCCAATCTGCAACTCAATGTAACACCATACCATATTAAGTCGCACCAATTCAAGAAAACTGCAATGAGCTACAACAATCCACTCACAAAGAAAATCAATTCATGGTATACGAATAACCTGCATGCTGACTTTGAATCAACACAGCTCATACGTACATATGAACGCACCTGTTACAAGCACAGATCAAGCTCAATGTACAAATGAATCACAGGTAGCAAATGGACATATCCCAGCACAAGCATAGTTTCTAAACCCAAATCTTAGTCTTACATGATACTTCAAATAGATTCAGCATCAAAATAACTGTTATTATGGGAATGACAAAAAAAAAAAAAAAATCGAACCTGAATAATGGTTAAACGATAAATTATCTTGCAAATTAAACACACAAATGAGCACCTAAAAAAACATGCATACAAGGACTAAGAAGCAGAAAATGGATACTGGACTACATCCCATTCAAACTTCCGACGCGGATCTTCCTAAAAGTGAAAAGGGAAAAAAGATGATGATGCGTCAATTCCGGCATCATCAAGGAAAATAGACTCGTACACGGCACTGAACAGCGAAGACTCCTCAGCATAACCATCCATCAAGCCCTTTTGTAGTCCACCTGATTCCACAACCCTCCTCCTCTTTTCCAATCTCCCCTCTTTTTCTTCTTCTTCTTCACCACCATCAGAAACACCAGAGAGAGCAGTGACAGCGCCGAGGCCACCCGTATCCCCCTCCTCACCATGCTTCCTCTTGAAGATTTTACAAAGCACCAAGCTGTCGATGTTTGTCTCTTTGTCGAGGCGGAACTCATGCATGATCCAGTTGGTATGGACCTTCTGGTTCCCGACGCCCATCTTCCTGAAAGTGAATTGCAGTCTGTACCCAATAACTTGAGACCCATGCTTGACATCTTTGTCTTTGCTACCACAGTGCCATAAACCGCAGCCAGCATTGCGGTTAAACTTCCGAGAGCGCGCGCTGATCGGGTGTCTGCGAGTGAAGAAAAGCATGCGCTTCTCCTCACTTTCGGGAAATCCAAATAAATCAGAGTACTCCCCCTCACTTTCGGGCTGAAGCAGGCCACCTGGAAATTAACCACTCGTCAAAAATCAAAACCATTCGTCAAAAAATGAACAGGGTTGTGTCGACAAGGTTAGGAATCCAAATAAATCAGTAGCGGGGGAGATATCAGAAACCTGCAGACGTCTCTAAATTCAAGAAATGAAAGAAGTTAAAAGATCAGAATTACCCGCAGGAAGATTCCAGGGTTCCGTTGAGTAGACATCCAACTCTCGGACCAAGCTGCTCGGGATCATCACTCCGCTGATCCTCCTCCGAAGGTAAAAGGCCACGAGATGGACATCGCTGGGACTGAAATTGAACCCCGGGTAACGAAAAAGCGTCCGGAGATCGTCGGCTCCTTCTTGCGTCTCCATGGCCGCTGCCAATTTCG